GGTGGATACCATGCAAATGTAAATAAAAAAGCTAGAATTTCTGCCCTTATAGGGTTTATAGCCTCATGGATGGGGGAATCAATGGGTAATTAAGCAATTATTACACAGTAAATTAAGTGTCATTATAGTTGAACTGTGGTAGGAAACACTTTGCCTAGACTTGGGAATGTCTGAAGAGAACGAATAGAAGAAATAACATTTCAACTGATGAAAATTGGGGGAAGATTGTAGCACTCAAAGTATGGTCCTTGGACCAGCAGCATCCACATTACTTGGGGCCCTACCTTGGATCTACTGAATCAGACATTCGTGGAGTGTGGCCAGCAATCTGTGCTTCACAAACCATCCAGGTGATTCTGATGCTGAGAATCAGAGGCAAGAAAGAGCACAACATATTAAATAGAGCTGGAGCAGAGACTTCGAAGTCATTAAGAGCTTGAGTTGAGGCAGGTGAGACCTGATAAGATGGTTGAAGAGTTTAGATTTTTATCTTAAGTGCACTTGTAAGCCATTGAAACATTTTCAGTAGGGGAACAGCTTGATCAGGTTTGTGTTTTAGAAGGATCACAAGAGATTGGAGCTGAGTAGAAAGAACATGTAGGAAGCTAGTGTAGTAATAATGCTGATGGTCATGCATGTGGAATAAAGTAGACAGGTTAGGTACTTACAAGGGATAATTTCTAGGATTTGCTTATTGATTTAAATGATGAGGATAGGGAGGAGGAATTCCCAGGTTTAGCACTTGGGCCACTGGATAGATAGTAATTGTCTATCTAGTCTCTGGGGGTAGAGAAAGCAGGACGGGCAGGTTGGGGAGCATGAGGAAGATTATGAGTTTGAGTTTGGTTTTGAACACTGCAAGTGAAGTATTTATGGGGATAGTCAGTAGAGATACCAGTAGGCAATTTGATATTTTCCTAGAGCTCAGGAAGGAAGTATGGGTTAAATATACAGACATGGAAGGATTTGGGAGATATGAGGTACTTGAAGTCTTAGGGGATCCATTAGACAATGAAAGTATGTGGAATGAATGAGAACATAAATATTGCAGAAACACCCATATTGGGTATCAGGAGTCCAAAATGACTGAGAAGGACCACCCAGAGAGAACAATCAAAACCCAAGAGAGTATGGTGTAATGGAAGCCTAGGAAAGAACTTTCCAGAAAGAGCCTCTCAGTTGTATTTCTGATACTCAAGTCAAAAGGGGTAGCTGAAAAGTTTCCATCTGGGTAACCATACAAAGATTAGAGCAGCTGTGGGAAGTTGCATGGATCTCCAGAATTTGACTAGAGTGGACTTAATGGATAGGTGGGGGTAGAAGCCACACTATGAGAAGTCAGTGGGAGGCAGACATTATGGATGATTTGGCTGTGAAGGAGGAAAAGAATCAAAGCTGGAAGGAGAACACGAGATCATAGAGGACCTTTTTATTAAAAAAATAAAAAGCAGAGACTTAAGTGTTGATGGTAAAGAGTGATGGTGGAGGGTGAGGGAGAGGATGGAGAGAGGGATGAGAAAGGGAAGGAAAGTGAAGACGGAGGAGAAAGGAAGCAATTGATAGAACAAAGTTCTTGAAATAGTAGGAAAGGGTGGGACTCAGAGCACTTCAGTGGCAAAAGGGACACCTCTTCTGTTGTAACAGAAGAAAAAGAAAGGATGGATTATTGAACAGGTAATTTTGTCTTGTTGGGGGGAGAAAAATGAGGGAGTTCCAATCTGATAATTTTTTATTTTCATCTGTTTGGCAACAGCTGATGGAGAAAGAAAAGATGGGCTCAAAAGTTTGAGAATGGCAGTTGAGTTTAAAATAGTCATTGTGCAGAATATATGGAGTGATAATAAGGGGGAGAGCCAGATCCTCATGTTGCATTGAAGTCCCAGTTGAGGACAGACGTCATGAACTTATTTTTACTGGGATCAAGCTGCAGATGTGTTGGTTTTCTCTTTCTCGGACGCCTTAATGTACATGTGGAAATAGCAACAAATTGGATTCATCCAAATAACATCCAAGACTGATATTCTAATATATTGTTTTAGAAGTACCGTGGGGTGAGGAGGAAAAAAGATAAAGGCCTCTGGTTCCTTATCTAAAAGTTCCAAAATTCAAAAAACTCTGAAAACTGAAGTTTTTTTTATAACTCATTTGGTGGCAAAACTTCTCTGAATGAAGTGATTTAAGGTTATTTATAGCCTTTGCTTATCAAATTTAATATGTATGTCCATGTGTTTTGCCTCACAAATTGTCTGTGATTATGGAGTGCTGCCTCAAACTCTGCTGCAGATGTTATATCACATATGGAATATGCACCACATAACCATTCTTAAAATCAGAAAAATTCTGAATTCTGAAGGACATCCGACCCCAGTGTCAAGAAAGATTGTGTTCCTGTGTTAGTAATGAAGAGATGGAAATGATAGATTAATACTATGGAATCTAAGCTAGATAAGAGAAAAGGGGAAGTTGAGGAGGGCAATCCACTAGGAAAAAGTAGAAGAGTGAAGGAAATAGAGAACTGCAAATAACTAGAAGTGTTGGCGGTCAAGTAGAAAATTTGAAGAATGGGAAGTTGTCATGAGAATTATTATAGAATGCCTCAGTTATTTCCAAAGGGAGACAGTTCTGGGTGGTTGCGAACTCTAGGGTGTGTGACCATGGGCATGGGCAGCTGAGTTGTAATGGAATAGAAGGTCATTAGGGATGAGGTCAAGAGAATGAGAGACAAGAAAATTAGATGAATTTCACAGAATAATGGCAGGATTTGGAGTGGAACAGAACACTACAAGCCAAATCCTCCGATCCTCAGTGAATGAGGCACAGTGGAAGGTACAGAAGATAACATGGTGTTTAAGAGAAATTCTTCACTCTTCCCCTGGACTATGATCTCTTTAAGAAACAGACAAGTAAAGAGATAAATAATTATACAGCATGTTAAGTGTAATGTTCAAAGCATGATCTAAAAGCTATTAAAATCTAGATGAGGAAAGAAACTTTAGATGTCTGAATAAGTCAGAAGACTAACAAATTCCTAAGTGTTTCACATTGGTTTTGGAATTTTCAGTGTTTGATAAACATTTATGTACAACCTATGGATATCTGGTAGAATATTTGATCAAAATATAGTGGCTAAAACTGTCATATTTGCTAGGTAATTTGTTAATAGTAGAAGCAAAGCATGATAAAAAGAAAAATGTAAAATATGAACTGCCTTTAAGAGTATTTTTTAAGAGTCTTAGATAAATTTAAGGCTCTCAGAAGAGCGATTTATTCTATGTGATGTATAATTTTCTAGTTTCTTCTTTTTTATTTTCTAATTTTGTTTTTTTATTGACTACCTCTACTATTCTATTACAAACTGCCTCAATCCTTTTTGGATTCAAGTGAGAATATAAATAATAAGCAAAAACATTCTAGTCAATGATGTTAAAAAATGAACATGTTTTAAAGCATTATCATCTCACCTTTTAAAAGATACACTTCATGTAATGTAAGTGTATTTTACTTCTTGTAGGGCAGTGTCAGAGTGTCAGCTGCTCTTTGGAGGTCCTCCAAAAAGAAAGAAAAGTTCTCAAATGTTATAGATTGGTTGACGAGTGCTATTCTGGGGATAAGGAGTTGTGGGGGTAGGCCATGCTGACCACAGGAATGTTGAGCAGCAGATGTTGGCTTTGGGCAAAGAACTTTTGATGCATAGTGACTTCTTTGAAATGTTGGGACTGATGGTCCTTGTGGGAACCTGCATCACAAAATGTCTGTCCCAGATGGAACGTACTATGTGAGAATACAAATGCAGAATAATAGGGCAATGATACCCTATCAAGAAACCAACTGCATTTACAGATTCCCTAAATAACAGGTCAAAATAGATTTTACTATGATAAATATTCCAATTGCAATGCTCTACAAAATTTTCATCTGTCTGATGTATTTTAAGCAAGATTTCTGGGTCATGTGGCTTTTCTAGTAGACTTCAATGACATGCAACCACTAAACAGAGACCTTGTCATTTATTTAACTCCAACTGTCTTTAATCTTGAGGACAGTAATGCTGTGAGAAACTTTGGGGTTTCAACATAATCATAGAATGTTATGCAGGATCAGATTTTCAAATTCTTTGCTTTTGTTTCTCCCACATTTAGTATAGAAGTCTTGTATTATCTATATGTCTTTGAATTGGGGTCTGTGGTTTCTTCTTTTTTTTTTTTTTTCATCATCTTCCCTCCTTTCTCTTTTAGTTCACAGCCATGAACGAACCACAGTGCTTCTACAATGAGTCCATTGCCTTCTTTTACAACCGAAGTGGGAAGTATCTTGCCACAGAATGGAACACAGTCAGCAAGCTGGTGATGGGACTTGGAATCACTGTCTGTATCTTCATCATGTTGGCCAACCTACTGGTCATGGTGGCAATCTATGTCAACCGCCGCTTCCATTTTCCTATTTATTACTTAATGGCTAATCTGGCTGCTGCGGACTTCTTTGCTGGGTTGGCCTACTTCTATCTAATGTTCAACACAGGACCCAATACACGGAGATTGACCGTTAGCACATGGCTCCTCCGTCAGGGCCTCATTGATACCAGCCTGACAGCATCTGTGGCCAACTTACTGGCCATTGCAATCGAGAGGCACATTACGGTTTTCCGCATGCAGCTTCACACACGGATGAGCAACCGGCGGGTGGTGGTGGTCATTGTGGTCATTTGGACTATGGCCATTGTTATGGGGGCTATACCCAGTGTGGGCTGGAACTGCATCTGTGATATTGACAATTGTTCCAACATGGCACCCCTCTACAGTGACTCTTACTTAGTCTTCTGGGCCATTTTCAACTTGGTGACCTTTGTGGTAATGGTGGTTCTCTATGCTCACATCTTTGGCTATGTTCGCCAGAGGACTATGAGAATGTCTCGGCATAGTTCTGGACCCCGACGGAATCGGGATACCATGATGAGTCTTCTGAAGACTGTGGTCATTGTGCTTGGTAAGTTTGGCTTGACTGTAACTTACTTTGTGGATTCTCAATGTCTTAATATAAACCACATTAGTTTATGATCATGGTAAACAACAATATGAATATTCAGGTATACATGCAGGGATTCCAAGGGAATGAGGCACCTTTATATTAAATCAGTTTACCAGTGTTTTTACAATTACAGAATCAGCTTTATGGATGTATGGGTTTCAGTGGTGCAATATAAATGGTGGTGATTGATATAAAAGATGTCATTGAAGAGTTCGGCTATCTAATATTAAAAATACCAAAATAATGAATCAAATTCATTTAGTTTTTTAAAGATTTTCTTACAGCTCAAATTGCTTTTGCCTTGTGGTCTCTGTGTTACAGATTTTCTGATAGAAAGTGCTTTCATATAATAAGGAATATACTTTCATATGTAGTTTTTTATTAGTCTATTTCTGAGTAAGTTATTTGTCACATTCTGTAATTGTTACTACATTATTGTGCATAAGTATATTAAGGTTTTGTGTGGATTTACTGAACAAAACAGATTGTAATTAATGATGTTCTCTGACAGTCATCTTCATGAAAACTTGCTCTTTTTAAATTAATTTTCTGTTAGTAGGAATGGAAGTTAATTCATAGTTCAAGATGAAGAGCAAGATTTTATTCTTTTTGTAGACTCAAATAACTTTTTCCTTTAAATAAACACTATTTTTCCAGAATGAAAAATTTGTGATAGTGATCAGGAGTATATTTATTCATTTAGGTACTGAGAAAATAGTTAAAGAGCACCTAATAAGTTCTAGGCTCTGTGCTGGCCCTGGAGATAAACTCATGGAAGGGACAGACATAAAACATTTCTTTGGAGTTTAGAGTAGAGTGCCTATTTAAAAAGTTTACTCAGTAAGAATTTGTTTAAATAATTACCCAACTGAATTACATATTTTCCAAAGACTATATTCAGGCTAATATTTAAAAAATCCTTTTATCATTTCATCTTTCTCTAAGGAAATTCAGTGGAAAGTTCCTATTATTCTCTTTGCTCCAGTTTATAAAGCAGTGTTGAGTGAATGTAGCTGGTAATTATGTGGCTCCCCTTAAACTTTGGGAGTTACATTAATTTTAGTGACTTCTGGAGATAGAACCCTAATTATCATTGAATAAATTAGCGTTCTGGTTGATGCCTCAGTCCTGTCTGTGTTGGTTAGGGTGAGTGGATCATGGAGATCATTTCTGGCTATACTGATTGTGACCCTCTTGTAGAACTGTAAGAATGAGAATTAGGCCTTGGAATTGCTGACACAGCTAAAGCTCTGCCTAGCTAACCAGAACACTTAGATAATATGCCCATTAGGGACCTCACCTCAGTTGTGAGATTGTCTTATTCCATCCAAGGAAGTTTAGTAGATGTACAGAAATGGTTTCCTCGTATTCTTAATTATCAACAAGACCTTGGGCATGCCTGTGCCACAAGGACATCATTTCCATGATATAGATGAAACACATCTTAGTTTATTGTGGATGCCATTTTTGTATGAAATTAAATAACATAAGACATTTTACTTCTCTATTGTCTCAAATATTTATTTACTGATGATCTAAATATTGCCTGACACTTTTCATATTGTGTGTACTTTTTCTATTGTGACAAGGGCTGCTTAAAGTTCATGGAAACACCAGCAGTACTGAACTTGGACTATTAACCTGCTAAGTTCTTGTTTTACTTTTGACCTTTATGTAATATCTAGCATATTCCAGTGTGCATTATACTGAATGATTCATGCAAAATTAACTTTTGTGTTTCATTGGGTTATTTTGCAGGTCGAGATAATTATTTTGAGGATTTATAGAGTTATACTTTCTGTGTACATCTGCCCTAAATGACGCTTCCCCATCCCCTACCAACACACACCCCTAAACTTGAAAATAACAGAAATAATATTGCCCTCTGAGATTTAAACTAATAGACTCCACAAAGATTGAATATAGTTAACTACCTCTGGAATAAATAACATTATTTCTATAGCCGCGAGATGGAAGAAATTTTAGAACATGGAAAACTGCAATCAAGGTAATAGGTAAAGAAATTTGGTTTGGCAAGATGGGAATGTGATTGTAATATAGGAAGCAGAAATTAAATGACTATAGCTTTTTTTGAGAAAAGTAGTGAGAATCAGAATGGGCAGGATGTGGGCAGGGGAGGGGTTGGACAGCTTAGAATAGGGAATTCACAATCCAAAGGTGTTTGTCAAGGTGATGCCTAATTCCATTCCTACAGTGTGCTTCCTTGCTTGAATTGTGAGTGTCCATCCCTGTATAGGCGTGATTATATGGAGGAGGTGGGTTGGTCTTGTAGGAACAAGAATTCTGGTCTACCTGAAGCTCTTCTCATTGTAAATTAGTCTATTGACAATCTGTTGTTTTACAGTTTGCACACTTGGTTTTTACTGTGTCTTTTCTGCTGGATTGTCAGATTTGTGAGGGCAGGCAGGGATTGTAATGATTTGTTGTCTGTCTTCTCCACATTCCCGGTCACGGTTATCTGGAACAAAGAAGGTGTTCAATAAATAATTGTTGAATGAATATATGTGATGCCAAAACCAAGTTTCTGAGCCTTCACAACTAAAGACCAGAGAGAGCCATTCACTACAAAATATGCCACTTTAGCCATGTGGGAGCCAAACCAAGTTACACTCCTATTACATTCCCTGCCTTCTAATCCAAATACAACAGCTTGGAAAAGGACTGGCTACAGTGGGTGCTCAGTACATAGTATGTTTCTTTTACTTTCATTTATTCTGGGGATGATTCTTCAGTTTCCATTCTCACTTTGTCACAGTGACCTCTGGGTTTTAGACCTGTTTGTTCTTCATGATCAAGAGAAGAATTTGTTGGTCAACACCTTAATTCCTAGAAGTCAACTTAAAAATAAAGGCATCTTTGAGATTTACGATGACAATACCAGTGGCAGGTTTTAAAGCATGATCTTGTATATAAGCTGCTTTTGAGTGAGTGCTGGATCTTAGTAATTATTTTTATTTGTCAAATGCTCATGTAGCATTAATCATGTGCTATCTTAGAAATCGGTATTTGTAAATAATAACCATATGAAGTATAGGTACCATTTATTGATTTATTATTCTCATTTTCTAGATGGTGAAAATGCAGGTAAAGAGATGTTAGGTGACTTGCTCAAGGCCACACAGCTAGTAAGTATAGAAGCTGCGATTGAAATTCAGGCACTCAGGTTCCAAAGCCTATGTGTTTTTCACCTCCATGTCATCCTACTTCTCTTTATAAAAACAATTATCAGCACAGGCTATATTTTGCTATACAGTTTGAATAGCAGTGTGCTATTAAATAGAAACATTGTATCCCATTTGTTTCCGTTGCTACTGCCTGCTGCCTGGGCTTTTTTTCCATGGGCAGGCAGAGAAAGCTTTAAGGGAGCATTCCTTTCCTCCTTTTGCTTCTAATGAGCTCATGACTCTAATTTCATCTGCCCTTTTCTACTGTTTGGTGTTGCAGCATCTGTAACTGCTTCTGATTGAGGAAGAGTTTTGTTTAAGGTATAGTTTACTTGATGGTTCATTGTCCCAGTATGAAGTCATGCAATCTCTCCCTAGGCTTTAATTCTCCCTACTTGACATTTTACCAAGAATGCCTTTTGAGTCTATTCTGAGGTTGAATCAGAGTGGCAGTCAAGCTGTTCTTCCTTATTTGACCGCAGACTGTCGTGCGTTGCACGCCCTTTCCTTTCCGGCTCTATTTGTGATGACACTTCTGTTGGGGATCATTAGAAAAGAGGAAAACCAGAATTTGGAAAGAGAAAATCATGGTTAAGGTGTGGAGGTTTTTGCATCTGAGCCCTAGGAGGGACATCAGTAAATCCAGATGGGGCTTATGGGGAAGAAGAGGGAGACATTGTTTTTCTAGTTTGATCTGTTTGGGCTGGAAATGATCACCATTGAAGCTAAATTGCTCCTTATTACCTACGTACTCTGTGCTAGCTAGGATCAGTACTCAGCACTACTCTTCATGTGTTGTTTGTAACCTTGCACCAAGGAAATTTACATTTTCCCCATTTTATGTTGAGGGAACCAAGTTAGGATAGGGAAAATAACTTGTCTGAGATCATTCTTTTTGTAAGTGGCAGAACTGGATTCAACTTGAAGGTTGTTGTAGACCATGCTCTCTGGCCACCGGACACTGAGTCCGTATACCATGCAGGTGACTGTTAACCAGTGGTGATAATAGTGGTAGGGGCCAGATAAATTTAAGCCTGTTGTTTTCTTGTTCACTCTGTTGACAGATAATGTGGCTAATATCCTATTAGCAAATCTGTATATACTTCTGTTTTCAGTTTAATTCAACAAACGTTGTTGAGTGCCAATTGTGTGCTAAGGGGTGAAAAGATGAATGAGGAAAATGCTGTACAGAGCGGATGGTGTAGAGCAGGAGACTAAGAGAGAACTGCAAAGCAGTTGGGTCCATGTGAGAAGAGAGGTACAGGCAGAGCAGTCTCGAGTGGAGGGAGGGGACTCCCTGGGGAGCCAGTATTGAGCTGGGTGGAGGAGCTTGCTGTACTGGAGTCCAGTATTGAGCTGGGTGGAGGAGCTTGCTGTACTGTAGCACGGGGGTAGGGGAGAAGGAGAAGGTAAGTGATAGCATGAGCAGTGGCTGTCACCTTTGAGGAATGAAAGTAGTCAGGTGTGATTAGCATATAGTGGGTATGCGGGTAGAGTTTTGACTAGAGGATCAAAGCCTTTATGACATACTATGAAGTTTGGGCTTCTGCCTGTAGGCTATGGGAGATGCTAAAGTGTTCCCCAAGCTTCCTTATAGGTAGTGTAATCATGTAATATATCATCCACACTGAGAAGCTTTTGATAATGAAAACAGACACTAACTGGAGGGGCTGCTGGGACAACAGGCATAAACTGAGACTATTCTGGGCAGCCCAGGATGTATGTTCACCCTCCTCCTGGGCTCTACTCTGGGCTTGTTTATTTATATTCTCA